TGCGCGATCTGCTGCTGTTGCTGCAGCACGGTTTGCTGGTGCTGCAGCAGGTGTTGTTACTGTTGCTGCAGCACCTGTTAATGCTGTTGCTGCAGCACCTTTTACTGCTATTGCTTTAACGGCACTTGCTGCTGCAGCAATTGCTGCTGCTGCTGCAGCAATTGCTGCTGCTGCTGCAGCAGCAGCAGCAGCATGAGGCCGTCGTCGTATTATTTAATTAGCTCCATAGGTTTGTCTGTATTCAAGTAGTAGCTGTCTTTGTTTTTGTAGCTGCGTTTTCTTATCTTTATCTTGTTCTTTGTCTATTAACTCATCAATAAACAGCAGCAAATCTAACATATTTAAAACAGATATAACTTGCGTCTTGAAGTCGCGCCGAATGCAATCAGCAGCAGATATCTCCTCTCCTGCAGCACAGCAGCAGCAGCAGCAGCAGAAGTAGCAGCAGTCGTAGTAGTAGTAGTAGTAGGAACAGCAGCAGCAGCAACAGCAGCAGCAGCAAAGAAAAACAAAAGGAGACAGCAAAAAACAAACACAAAAAAGGACAGAGAAACAAACAAAAATAAAATAAATTAAATAAAATAAATAAAATAAATTAATAAAATAATAAAATAAAAACACAAAATTAAACAAACAAATCGCAAAACCAAAGACAAATAAAACAAACAAAAACAAACAAAAACAAAAAAGAAATAAATATAAATATAAATATAAATATATATATATATATATATGTATATAAATAAATATATGTATATATAAATATATATATATATATGTATATAAACAAATATAAATATAAATATAAATATAAATATGAAGGATAAACATAAATAAATAGATACCTATAAATCAAAAGATAAATAAATAAGTATAAATAAAAAAATAAATATAAATAAATAAATATATATAAATAAATATAAAATAAATATAAAATAAATATAAATATATAAATAAATATAAATAAATATAAATAAATAAATATATATAAATATAAAATAAATACATATAAGTCCTCACCGTCTGTTTTTTCTTGTCTGTCTAACAAAACTACGAGTGCAGCGACTTTGATATTTTTATTAACTGTCTTCATTTTCTCTAAGCTTTCTCTTAAAGCCTTGCCAGATGTTAATACATCATCTAATACTAATGCACGAGGGCCCTCCTCATCTTGCTCCTGCTCCTGCTGCTGCTGCTGCTGCTGCTGCTGCTGCTG